GAGAGAGAGAGAGAGAGAGAGAGAGAGAGAGAGAGAGAGAGAGAGAGAGAGAGAGCAAAAGAGAGGGAGAGGAGAGATAGATAGATAGAAAGAGAGAGAGAGAGAAAGATTAGCCGTGTGTGTCAGTATCGGATATTTGACGGTAGAGCCCTACCCATCGCTGATCCTTTGCGGTTTCCTCGCATGCATTACCATCAATGCCAGTGTCTGTGGGAAATTCGCGGCCTCGGATGTTCCCTTTTTGGTCGGTCAGTGTCATAAAAACAACATTAACGTTTATTTAGCAGTTAACTTTCTTTCTACCCGGACGCCATGTCACATACGTGCTCGGCCGCTGCCGGGCGACTTGGACGAAACGCTCGCGCGACGGCGTGCGCGCACCCCGTTGGTGGGGGAGCTCCGGTCACGTCCAGGGACGTGGGGCTCGAAGGTGCGCGGCGGATATTGTTTAGTTCCATAAATGTGTACATATATATATGTACGTACATACGTGTGAACGGCACTGAACCAACTCGTTTTAGCGAATGCCAAGAGTTTACACAAGCGATACGCCCAACGATATTATTATGCGGCGGCGGCATACAGAACCGTTTGCGCCAATTGTGAATTTCCGGGAATCCATAATCTCGCAGGAAACGCGCCCCCAAGAAGATTTGCGATTTGTTAACGCGAATGTCGCGAATACGAGTCGTGAAAAAATTGCATTTATCGGAAAGAATTAATTTCTAGTAGGATTTATAATATCCGCACGCACCTCCGCGGGGAATATCTAACGTCGTCGCCAGTCCACGTACGTACACACGTCGCGTCGTCGCGAATATCGAATCATCGAGATTATCGAGCACACACCTGACGCGACGGTGACGGACGGCTCGCGCACTGCGCAGAACGTGCGCGCGCAACCTGCGTTTTGCATACGGCGGCGTTGCAGCAGGCGGCGGCGGCGACGCGAGAAGCAGCAGCCGAGAAGCGTCGCGAATGCTCACGTCTGCGCAGTCGAGCGGTTGGCAACCTTCAGCTAACTTGTAGCGTTTTCAGCCTGAGCGGGTTCCGCACCGATCTGGGTGATAGATCAATGACGTTGTATGCCTCTATTATTGTTAGAGCATGTAACGTCAACCAACAGTAAAAACATCATTAAGCCAACTTAGGTAGTTGCGTTCGATTTAGATGCTTTCATCGCTTTTACGCTTGTAACCTCGTCTTACGTCCATTCAGTTGGACGCATTAGTGCATATTAAAGCTATTGTACACTGGTTTAACCCTGTCTAAAAGTAAAAAATAAATATTTTCAATTGTTAAGTACAGATTTTTTTTACTTTACTAACAGCACAATAAAATGTATTGAAGATTTCGTGGTCTAATTGCAGGTTTACCGAGTGCACTCAATCGAGTTCGTTACAGTTCGCTATAATGAACGATCATAGAGACAAAAGGATAATTAGAGGCGCCCAGATAAAATGTTTTGTACGATGCCAGTATAACGCATACATGCGTGCATGTTGTCGATTGATATCCAGCTAACTTCTCATCTGACGAATATCTGACAGCAACATTTGCACGTTGTGCGAATTTTGTACTTGTAAAACGCCAATAAATGCGAGGCGTGCGAGAGATTATTTGGACGGTTAATTAAAGCGTATAAAAACGTGCAAACCAAACGCAACCTTGACAAATCGCGAATATCAGCCGACAGGCGGCGCGTTGTCAACGGCAGTCAACTGCAGTCAACGTAGTTGGCCGAGCTGCACAACGAGCGAACCGGGAATCAACGGGAACGAGTGCTGTCTCTGAAACATCACTGGCTGAGTGAACCCTGTGACACGAACCCGTGTTGGAAACCAAGGCTAATACAAATTACAAAGGAAGAACGAGCGAGCGAAGTGTACCGTTGTTGACACTGTTGACAGCGGTCAACAGCGATTAACGAGCGGAGTACGAACGCGTTCTGCCTTGCGCATTTAGTCGTTTAGTGGTCGTGAATCTCGGAAGATGCCGCAGCCTCACGGACGACCGATTTAACTTGATTTAGCTGCGGACGGAGAAACGGCCTACGCCAGACGTCGTGATTCGGATGCGACTTGAATGCGACGTGGAAGAGACTCGGCCAGGAAGAGAACTCGCTCAACCGGGAAGAGGAGCCTCCACGTTGATAGGCCACTACACGCCAAGAGGGCACGGCGGATTACCGTCACGTCGGAAATCTGCGACAAACGCTGTAAGACGACGAGTCCTTTCTTTCGAACGATTTCAAATTGCGCATTTCCCTTCTGACCCTCTCGTTCCTTGCTAGAACGCGAGATCACTGCATGATAATTTTATACATGAAACATATCGCGTGCCGCAATGATATTGAGGTCCGTACGCGCACGATACGATATTCGAGGCTACGGAATTCTTGCAACACATTTAGATATATTTCTATCATTTGCTACTCTTTTAGTTTCAGTAATTTAACCTTTCTATTACTATATATATAACATAAATTTTTACATAATTGCAGTTTTGCTGTTTTAAACATTTAATACTTATATATTACTTTTCATAAAAATAATTTATTTATATACTATTATAAATATACATGGAAAAAACAGTTTTTAACATTTAATTAATAATAATAATTATTTAAAGGGATAACAGTCAAATAAACTTAAATTTTGATATTTAATACAGTAATCTCTTTTTCTTATGTATGTAACAAAAAAAAACTTATTTTTTTATAAATTTGTAAAAATTTATAAACAAATTATAATAGTCAATAATTATGACTTGTATCTTCCTGTATTTAACTTAATTGATACAAGATGTTTATAAAAAAAAAACAAGCTTCATTAACGTATACAAATTAAAAATATTAAATATTGATTATTGTGTTGTACATGCTGTAAGCCTTTTTATAATTGCAGAGAATTTATGCTGTAAATCTACAGAGCTACAGAGGAAGATATCGTTATGGATACTAATTCTAAATGTGAAAGTAATAAAAATACAAAGAAATGTTTAAAAAGTCAACTGGAAGACGTCAAATTGGAAGATAATAACAAAATTGAACAAGTACTTTTATGGTTACCAAAATTTAATAAAGTCCTACGTTCATGTTCAAGAAATAGAAATTATGAACATTTGAAACGATTGCTTTTCTTTTACACACAGTAAGATTACCATTTACATCATTATGAAGATTCAATTCAATATTGCTAAATCACAAGTAGAAACTTCATTCATATATAAACAGGTTGGGAGTTGAGAATAAGGTATATATAAAAGATATGTAATTTTGTTGTATTTCAGGAATATTCTTTCTAGCGTAGCAGAAAGCACTGTCAAATGTAATGATAAAATTGATTTGATGAAAAACCATATTAGTAAAATGTTAATATTCTTTCACATGTATTGGCTTGATATAAAACAACAGGTATTATTAATCCTAATTTTTTGTTTTTGTTTTATAGAAATATAAATATAAGATAATCGTTAATCTTTTATCTTTTTTTTTCTCAGAACACAGATTATAGTCAATATTTAAATAAAATATCAGCTTTGTTAAATGTGTATATAAATATGGAGTTAAAAACTTCTAGTCACGTCGTTAAAGATTCTTCTAAAATAATTGCTGCAAAGATTCTTGCAGCATTGTACATATATTTAAGTAAGTGTCAAAAATTGATTTGATCTGACTGCGGATAAAACGAGAGTAAGAGTAAATTCTCTGATATTAAACTGTTTACAGATAACTCGGAAGAACATATTTTCAGGATATTACTTAGAAATAAACACGCGACAAAAAAATATACAAAAGTATGCAATTATATATTTATGTACGTAAATATTTTTTTATCATATTATATTATAGACATTTCATAGATAACATTAAGATAACACAGATTATTATATTTTCTCTACATAGGAAGAGCTTTACTAATCTCAAAACCAAGACGACGTCTATAACCGATGATGTAGCTTATATTAGATATTTACTCGCCTTTAAAATGTGGAGAAAAATGGAAGAAACAACAAAGAAGTTAAATCTTTCTGACAAAAAGGAAAAAATTAATAAATTAGCCCTAATGTTGCTAGGACCGCGTATGCCAAAATTACGAGACGAATTATTGAAATTTGTGCCTACACCACCTACGGGTCAAGAAAATGAAACACTATGGTTAATACAATCAAACCTATTTGATATAAAGCAAGTTCATAAACAATTCTTGTTATTTGAAGATAAAATGGATAACTGTACAGGTTTAAATTGTACCAAACCAATTCATACTGATCAGAACTGTTTAAAGTCTCAGGTAAGATCTTTATTAATAGTGCTTCATCTCAAAAATTATATATATGAAGATTTTTACATTTATTAAGTATAATACAAATTTTAACGTGTGGAATACTGCTTTTTCAGAAACGTCAGACAAATTCGTTATTTCATACGAATAATTCTAATGGAAATAAAACATCTGAACAGAAAATAAATAAATGCTTAGGTGGTTTGCAAAAGAATAATTCTCTACCAAATAATAAAAATAATAAAAATAAATGTTTGGAAATTCAAAATTTACAAAAAAGTGGATCAAGAAGCCTTAAATCATTGAAAAAAATTAACAAATCAAGAAAAACTATACTAATTGATTTAACTGGAGATGATGAAGTAAAAAGAAAAAGGACTAAACAAAATTCGGAATTTGTGAAAGTTATAAAAGACGTGAGAAACAAAAAGCATATCAATTCTTCAGAATATTCAAACAAGCTTACGAATTCCGATGTTAAAGAATGTTCTAATAAAGATAACAAAAACTTGGAAGAAAAAAATCATTTAGAGTCTCATATGACAATAGGAGATATAACTAGTTCATGTGACAATTTGATAACACAAAATAAGGGTGCATTAACATCTCAGGAAGAAAGTGCCATTGGGACAATACCTTTACTCAAAACGTGCCAAAATAATGTTGCAGATCAGCAGAATTATCAATTTGATTTTAAGCAAGAATTACCAACAAGCACGGATTGTGCGATACAAAAATCGTGCCCGTGTTGCAATACAAGGCATGTTACTGATCACTTTATAATGACTAACTTGAAGTTTATAACTGATCGTAGCTCACAAATTACGGAAATGATAAAACAAAAAGTATGTCAAGTTAATAAATGTCCAAAGTGTTATACAGAAATTGATTGTAAATCATTTTTTAATGATGACGTTATCGTGGCAAAAACACAAGGGAATCTGCATAACACATTTAACGATAATGAAAACGATTTCAAATTGACTTGCGACACAAATATAATTTATGCACTAAGTAATGATTGCAATAAATATTTTTATCTTCTGAATCATACTGATAAACGTGTCACGACTGTACACGCTGAAAAGAGAGTGCAATGTTTAGATAAATCCGATGACAAATGTGTTTCATCTACATTTACTGAAGATCAAATTGTAGACCCACCATCGTATAACCAACATGTCAATTTTGGTAATTTTGTAAAAATAAATGATTACGATAGTAAATATTCTAAACAACAAAAAGAAAGCGATTGCGATTCTTCTATATTAAATGATCGATTATATTCCTCCAATGTAGAAGTAAATTGCAATTTGAAAAAAATTTTCCCAAAAAAAGAAGAAACTGACGAGATGACAAGTAATTATGTAGACTTGGAGCATGATTTTGTAAATGATATTCAAAATAAAACTCTTCTGGAAGATGTTTTCTGGCAACCTGAACAGCCCAAAATTAATTTAACTGATGTACTAAATAATTCTAAGGACTGTGTTGTCTCAACTACATTTATCAAAGACGAAGCTATAGAGTCATCAATGGATAGTCGGCACGTCAATTCTGATAATAGAAGAAAATGTGTTTATGAAGATACGATGAAGGAACGAGAAAAAAGCGATTGCGATATTTTAATGTCTTCTGAATTTTATACCGATTTTTCCGAAGTAGATTCAAACGAAGTTAATGAAGCAATGAAAACTAATTGTATAAATGATTTTGAAGATATTAGTGAAGATATCTCACATTTTCAAACTTTGGAAGATTTATTATCGAATGACACCATTAATTTCCTACCTCAAGAATTTCTGTTTTAATTTAAAAATATATACACACACATACATTATTTAACAAACAAAAAAAAAACGTTCTATGCAATAATCAAAATGATGCTATTAATAGTAGTATGAACCTGGTAATTTCTTATTTAATTCTGATAATATCTTTCTATAATTGCTAGCAAAGTCCAATAAACCTATGTTAGTAAATCGAATTTCATCACAATGCTAAATATATATATATTTATATATATATATATATAATATATATATATTGTTAATTTAGAAATCGCTCTTTTAGGTTTCAAAAAGTCATGGAATTTCGATATTCTTCCTGATAAATTAAACATTATGACGTCATAAATAAATATTTTTATGTTTGCAAGAAAGAAGATGTTGAAGACTTTCATATCCTGAAGGATAGATTGGATCAATCTTTGAACAAATTTTATATGTCCAAGAATATTTTAAATACTGTCAAATTATACAATATCAAAAGAAAAGATTCTGCCTCAGATCATCATATTGCGTAACATACTTATTAGAGCAAAGACACTTCTGTCTCCAGATACTCCATACTATATTTCCAGATTTTCATCATTGAACGATTTTGATTGTTTTTAATTGAAATTCGAAATATAATTGTACGTTTTCGAATGCCACTAAGTTGCAAACTATCAAATATAACAGATTGTTGCAAACTATCAAATGTAACAGATTGTTATTTATTGAAGAGAAACCATGAAGAAAAAAAAATACAATAACAATAACGATGTTCACGAAAAAGTCATATTGAAAAATTTCCAACTTCAAGAGAGATGAGCTACATCAAGTTTCTAAAGAACTTTATTTACTTCTGCATATATCCATTGAAATATGCCGTTAACAAACTGTTTACTGTCGTAAGAGGAATAATCTGCTTGAATATTTTATGCAACTGTATAAGATATAGTTTTATTTTGAATGAATATTAATAGCAATTTAAGACTACATCATGATAATTATAACTGAGACCATAAACCGTAAAATAACAAATATCATTAAGAAGTAGACTGTTAGATATATCAAATCACCATCCACTGAAAAAGCACCTAAGAAGAAAAAAGAAAGATCGTATCTATAGTTTTGTCCCTTCTAAATGCTACAAAAAAAAAAAACGTTGTTTAGTCTGATTCAATACGATGTTCGAGAAAGAAGTTTTATTTTCTACAATAAAAAGGTAACTCAATAATTAAATATATATTTTAAAATCCCATACTATTATTTGATGTTATTACATTACTTATATTAGACTTATAAAATCTGTGAAACATTACAAGTGCACACGCGCGCGCACACATATACACAAGCTATATATGATACATCTCCGAAAAATATTGTCTTCCTATATCAAACAATAATTTAATTTATAAAAATTACTGTGTGGTGTTTAAAACTATTTATATTTGTAGAATTATCATTTATTTTAATTTTGCAAAATTTTAATATATGATAAATTTAAATTTAAAAACTTCTACTAATGAGTACAACAATACATATCAAACTTTGAATACAAGACTAATATAATTTTTCATTATACAAGGTGTTTGGAATTTAAATATCAAAACTTCGGAAATATATAGAGAAATCGATAAACTAGAAAACAAGTCTTGTAGAGATATGTTCGTTTTTGTTTCGTGTTGAAGAAAATCGTAAAGAAGACAAAACGTAGCTTTCGTTTTTGTACTTTTTTATTACTTATTCATGTTGTATTTATTCACTTGCTTAATGTAGATATTATTTAAAATGCTTGCAGAAATGCAAGCATATCATCATTACGGACAGCTCGTGTTGCCAAATACTGATCTAGTGATATTTAGTGCACTGTAGGTTTGATTTGATTTCTTAATTGATCTCTTGAATTGATTGACAACGAACAAACTTCTTGCTTTAAGTTCTTCCAAGAAGTCCAATGGTGTCAGATCAGGTA